CGAGGGTCCCCGAGGCCCACCGGGACCGCATCCACTACCAGACGGACGTAAGGCTGGAGGCCACGGAGGAGATCTACCTGACGCCTGTGCAGAAGAACTCGGATCCTCTGGAGACTGACAAGCCGTTCCTGTCCCAGTCCAGCGAGAACCGCATGTCCATCAGCTCCGACATCGACACCTCTGGCTACTCAGCCCTAGCAGGGAAAACCAACCCCTCCATCAGCGAGGAGGATGAGGTGCTGGACTACATGTCCTCTCCTGACAAGACGAACCTGCCCAGGGCCTCCTGCGGTGGTGGGAGCGGTGGCTCCCGGCCAGGGCACAACCTCCAGAGAGCCTCGGTGAGCTCGGACACCAGCGCCCTGTCCTACGACTCGGTCAAGTACACTCTGGTGGTGGACGAGAACGTGCAGCTGGAGCTGGTCAGCCTCAAGCAGTGCTACTCGGGCTACAGCGATGAGAGCGACTCGGCCACCGTCTATGACAACTGCATCTCCTCGCCCTACGAGTCGGCCATCGGCGAGGAGTACGAGGAGGACGCGCTGAAGCGCGACTCGGTGTGCCTCTCCGAGGACTCCACTCCCGAGGCGGACATCCACTTCTCCAAGAAGTTCCTCAATGTCTTCATGAGTGGACGGGCACGCTCCTCCAGTGAGTGCTGGGCACTGGGGGGAGCTGGGCAGTGGGCACTCAATACAAGGCTCAGGGCACACACAGGAGGTGGAAAGCCACCAGCAGACACGAGCCCCAGTTCTGCTTGCTGCAGCCTGTGGCTTTGTTCCTTGTGGCTGGAGAGGTAGAGGTGGGGGGCTTGGAAAAGCCTTGTGAGCTGCAGGTGGGGTGGCCAGAGGTGTTTCAGGATGTTTTTTGCCTAGCCCAAGGTATGGCCATGCTGAGGGGGAGAGGTTAAGTGGTCTTGCAGGGGGACAGCATCGCTTCTGGAGTGCCACTGTTCTCCCCAACCCCAGAGGAGCACTGGTGGTGGTGGCATGCCCCAGAGGCAGGGCTTCCTGTAGTTCAGCTGGTCCCACAGTGCTGGTGACACCACGCAGCTTTGTCTCCTCTGCCTGGCCCATGTCTGTCCCTTGGCTGTGGTGCTGAGACATCCCCCTCTGCCTTCATCCCCAGGTGCCGAGTCCTTCGGGTTGTTCTCCTGTATGATCAATGGGGAGGAGCAGGAGCAGACCCACCGCGCTGTCTTTAGGTGAGCTTGTAGGCATGAGCAATGCCCCCAGCCTCCCACAGGGGAAAGCCAGTGCTGCCCATCCACTGCAGTGGGGCCAGACCAAACCCCAGTGTTTCACCCAAACCACTGCCTGTAGTTCATGCCCTGCTCAGGAGCAACATCAGCCCAGGCTGCTGCAGGGGCAAGACTTCCAAGGGCAGCCAGGACCTCTGGGGAGCAGCAGGGGTGGTGCAGTAGGGGTTATCCTTGCCTTAAGTGCAAGGATGTTGCCGCCTTTTGAGTCTAAACCTGCTCCAATGCTTTATTTAGCATCTCGGGCACTGCCTGCCTGGGCTAGTGGTGGGTTTGTGTTGCCACCAGTGAGAAGGCCACCATGCTGCTGGCCAGCCAGGCACCAGTGCCTCTCTACCCAGGTTTGTGCCTCGCCACGCGGATGAGCTGGAGCTGGAGGTGGATGACCCTTTGCTGGTGGAGGTGCAGGCAGAAGATTATTGGTATGAGGCCTACAACATGCGGACGGGTGACCGGGGTATTTTTCCTGCTTACTATGCTATTGAAGTCACCAAGGACCCAGACCATATAACAGGTACCAAGCTTCTGCTGATGTCCCCATCTTGTGTCCACCTCCTCTCTGCTGAGCAGAGGCTGGTGCTGAGCAGGGGGATGGAGGGAGGATCAAGGGTACCCAGCAGGGAGCAATGGGCAGCTTCTGGTGTGATGCTGGGAGCTGGTACGTGGTGTTGCAGAGCCAAGGGTGGGAATAGGGAGAGGGGAGGTGGAGCTCAACCCATATGCCTGGTCACTGGCAATGATTCCCTCCATGTGTTCTCTCTTGCAGCTCTGGCCAAGAGCAGTGACTGGGTGGACCAGTTTCGGGTGAAGTTCCTTGGCTCGGTGCAGGTTCCCTATCACAAGGGCAACGACGTGCTATGCGCGGCCATGCAGAAGGTACTGTCCCACCCCATCAATAGAAGCAGGAGCTCCTCCTGGCAGCAGGGCAGGAGCTTGGTGGGGAAGGGGTGAACCATCACCATTGCTCACGAGTTCCAGGCCTTTTTCTCTCTCCTTCCCCCAGATTGCCACCACGCGCCGCCTCACTGTGCACTTTAACCCACCCTCCAGCTGCGTCCTGGAGATCAGCGTCCGTGGGGTCAAGATTGCTGTGAAAGCTGATGACTCCAAGGAGCACAGCAAGGTAGTGCCCTGCTCCCCATTCACCTCATCCCTTCCCCAGCTGCTGCTCTGAGCTGGCTCCTGCCCTCTGTGCTATAGGCCATGTTTGCATATGAAGATTGAGGGTGTGAGAAACACCATCATTGGGGTGGTAGGCCCATCATCGGGGTCCTCTGTGCCTCACAGAATCCCAGCTTTGGGCACACCGCTGGTGGATGCCCTTGTAGCTCCCAAACCCATTGCTGAGCTGGGATGCTGCAAGCTGAGCTGTACCAGTAATCTGTCAGATGCTCCTAAACCTTTCTGCTGCTATTTTGAGTGGTGTCCTCCAGATCTGCCCTGTAATCTCTTTAGCCGGCCAGGGCAGGCTGCTGATTAGCATTCTGCATAAGCAGCCTAGCAAAGTATGGGCTGTTGGGAAACCTCCCCTACTGCTGGGGATAGGAGTTCATGGCTCTCAGTGCTGTGTCAGAGAGCTGGGCTGGGGTTTCTACAAGCCTTGCCTGTATCTAGAGGATGCCATCAACTTGGTTGCTCGTTAAACTCCTGTAAATAAGTTCTTATTTCTGGCTGGGGCCCTTTGAATGCCCAGGCTTGAATGACTTAGTTCTTGGTTATCCAGTCACATTCTATCCACTGGTATTTAGCAAGGGAGGACTGTGTGTGCTGGGAACAGCAGCACAGACTCTTGCCTGAATACAGCCTAAACCAGGGCCTCCAGAGAGACCTGGCAGGAGCTGCTGGAGGTAGAGGCAGCTGGGATGGGTGCTTGGGGCCATCCTGAAGCTGCTGCTGGTACCAGCCCTGAATTGGGCTCTAATTCATTTCACTGCTCAATCCAAGCACATATTTCCAGGTCCAGAGCCCTGCTGCCCCGCAGGGTGGATGGGAGGGAAGCTTTGACAGTTCATATCTCTCTCTCCCCCAGGTAAACAAGTGTAGCCATTTTTTCCAGCTGAAGAACATTTCCTTTTGTGGGTACCATCCAAAGAACAACAAGTGAGTACCAAGAAGGCACGGGGCAGCTCTCCATGCCAGGAGCTCAGCATAGAGGCTTTGCTGCTTTCCCGCTCCCTGGGAGCAGCACTGGGCTGGGAAGGGAATTACATCCCAGCAATGAGCATGGGCCATGGCAGTTGGTGGCCACTGGGATTTGGGGGGGTCACAGGTCCCAAACTCAAGGGGATGTTGGGATACCTGTACTTGCTCATCTGCTGGTCCAGTCACCCCTGCTCTCTCTGCCCTCAGGTATTTTGGGTTCATCACCAAGCATCCTGCAGACCACAGATTTGCCTGTCACGTCTTTGTGTCGGAGGAGTCCACAAAGCCACTGGCGGAGTCTGTAGGGTGAGTCTTGGCTGGGCATGGAAGGCTTGAACCCAAAGGGCAGGAGGAACGAGGCAGCCAGGCTGAATCCTGCTGTCTCCCCATACATGTGAGGCTTGGACCTGGCCTCGGGCTGGCACCTCTTCCCTCAAGTGAAAGGCCTGGGGTGAGAGCCAGGGCTGACAGGGCTACAGGCAGCATATTCCCAAGGCTTTGCAGGCAGATGGCTGAAAGTCATGTGGACGTGCAGGGATCAGGGCAAGGATGATCTGATGGCAGCTCTGGGTGCTAACACAGGGGTTGGGAGGCTGGAGGGTCAAAATGGCTGCAGGAGCAAGGGTGAGAATGGAAGGGGGGCTCTGTAAATTCCTTGTGGGGAGGACACTGCTCAGCTCTGTCCTGTGCTGTGTTGCAGGAGGGCTTTTCAGCAGTTCTACAAGGAGTATGTGGAGTACACGTGCCCCACGGAGGACATCTACCTGGAGTAGGGGCTGGCACAGGCACCTCCTGCACAGCCAGGGCTGCAGTGTTGCCCCTTCCCCGTGTCGTGCATGGACAAGAGCTGCTTTGAGCCTGGAGGAGGAGCAGGCCCTGGGCAGGGCTCCCCAGGGCACAGGGTGCAGCCTCTTTTCGTGACTCCCCTTCCTCGGGCTGGGGGGGACGGGAGGGGGGAGGGCTGGACAAATTGTGTTTATTGTACAAAATACTCTTAGTTTATTCTATTGGAGAAGTTCCTGCTGGGTGCCCTGCCTGTGAGAGGTGGAGCGTGCTCAGGCCCTTTCCTGCTGCAGGCTGGGGTGACAGCATCTCCTCCTTGTGACCATGGCCCAGCTTCCCGTCACATCCCTCTGGGGTGACTTTTAATGCAGAGTCGGGCTCCTGCAGTATCAAGACAGAGCAGCTACAGCAAACAAGACCCATAATGCTGGCTTCTGCCTGGGAGATGGGCTTGCCCTGGGCAGGCATCACCTCCCTGCAATGCCCTGGGGATATAAAGGCTGCTGGGCAGGAATGACAGAGGAAACCCCACTGTCCCCTCTGCCAGAAACAGCACCAGGATGAGCTGAGACACCCCCCCCCTGCCTCTGCCCCCATCCCTCTCCTCTTGTATCCATGCCCTGGGGGGAGAGAGAAATGCCCCTCTGTAGCTCCCTGCAGTAACTACACCCTCAGGAGGGGAGCCTTTCTCTGCCCCTTTCCCCCTCTCCCCCTAGCTGCAGGTAGCAGAGGCAGTGGCAGGGCTGGGCCACCCCAGGGCAGAACTTGGTGCCTGCCAGATGTGGGGCAGGGAAGGGCTAAAGCCTGCAGGGAGCCAAGCAAAGCACCAGGGAGGTAGAAGAGCCCTCCCGGTCCCTGCAGCCAGAGAGCTCTGTGCTTCAGCTGGATTTGCTGTGATGGCAACAACTATTAAATATGATGGTTCATGGAGCAGGGCTGCTGTGCTGTTTGTGTCCCACTGCAGTGGGTTTGGGCCCTGCCTTCCTTCCCTTGGGACCCCAAGAGGAACTGGAGCTTCTCAGGTTTGGCCTGACATCCCTGCTGCAATCCCTGAAGGCCAGAAATCATTGTATGAGGATCAGAAGGGAGAGCTGGAGGTGACCTGCTCCAGCCTCCTCCCAAAGTAGAGTATACCCTTAACAGCCCCCCATTCCTACACCTCATACCTATGCTGTCCTGCAGCGAGGGGTCCCTGAGGCCAGGCTGTGGTGGGCACATTGGTTCACAGATGGGCATCATCATAGTACTCCTGCAGGTCAAGCTCATCTCTCTTGCTTTTACCAGCTCTTTGCAGCCACTCTGGCCGCTTCCGTCCCAGCCGGGTCCTGAGGCGCGGCTGCTTGGGCTTGATGCCATAATCTGCAGGCAGAGGGGAGAGGATGGGCTCAGGCCTGGGCTGCTCACAGCGCTGGGGACAAGCGCCCACCTGGATGGTGAGTGCAGGGGAAGCGGGTTAGGG